GTGAATCTTGCTAATGGTCTATCAATTTTATTTATCTTTTCAAATAACTGACTTCTTGTATATATTTTGTATTTTCTTGTTGTTGTTTCTATTTAATTTGTTTCTGCTCTGATCTTGGTTATTTCCTTTCTTCTGCTGGGTTTGGATTTGGTTTGTTCTTGTTTCTCTAGTTCCTTGAGGTGTGACCTTAGATTGCTGGTTTGTGCTCTTTCAGACTTTTTGATGTAGGTGCTTAGAGCTATACCTATCCTCTTAGCACCGCCTTTGCTGTATCCCAGAGGCTTTGATAGGTTGTGTCATTATTGTCATTTAGTTTGAAGAATTTTTAAATTTCCATCTTGATTTTGTTTTTGACTCAATGCTCATTTAGGTTATTTAATTTCCACGTATTCGCATGGTTTTGAAGGTTCCTTTTAGAGTTGATTTCCAGTTTTATTCCACTGTTGTCTCAGAGAATCCTTGATATAATTTAAGTTTTCTTAAATTTATTGAGGCTCGCTTTATGGCCTCTCATATGGTCTATCTTAGAGAAAGCTGTATGCGCCATTGAATAGAATGTATATTCTGTGGCTGTTGGATGAAATGTTCTGTATATATCTGTTAAGTCCATCTGTTCCAAGACATAGTTTAAATCCATTGTTTCTTTGTTGACTTTCTGTCTTGATGACCTATCTTGTGCTATCAGTGGAGTACTGAAGTCCCTCACTATTATTGTATTGCTGTCTATCTCATTTCTTAGGTCCATTAGTAATTGTTTCATAAATGTCGGAGCTCCAGTGTTAGGTGCCTGTATGTTTAGGATTGATTGTGGTACTTTTCTGTTGGACAAGGCCTTTTACCATTACATACTGTGTCCCTCTTTGTCTACTTTAACTGCTGTTGCTTTAAAGTTTATTTTGTCTGATATAAAAATAGCTACCCCCTGCTTGCTTTTGGTGTCCATTTGCATGAAATGCCTTTTTCCACCCCTTTACTTCAAGTTTATGTGTGAATCTTTATGTGTTAGGTGAGTCTCCTGAAGGCAGCAGATGGTTGGTGAGTTCTTATCCATTCTGATGTGCTGTATTTTTAAGTGGAGCATTTAGGACGTTTACATTCAATGTTAGTATTGAAATGTGAGGTACCATTGCATTCATCATGCTCTTTGTTGCCTATGTACTTTGTTTTTTGCTTTTTATTTTTAATTTGTATTTTTGTTTTCTAGGTCCTATGTGATTTATGCTTTAAAGAGGGTTCTGTTTTGATGTGTCTCCAGGATTTGTTTCAAGATTTAGAGCTCCTTTTAGAAGTTCTTGTAGTGGTAGCTTGGTAATGCTGAATTCTCTCAGCATTTGTTCGTCTGAAAATGACTATCTTTTCTTCATAAGTGATGCTTAGTTTCACTGGATACAAAATTCTTGGCTGGTAATTGTTTTGTTTGAGGAGGCTGAAGATAGGTCCCCAGTCCCTTCTAGCTTTTAAGGTTTCTGCTGAGAAATCTGCTGTTAATCTGATAGGTTTTCCTTTATAGGTTACCTGGCACTTCTGTCTCACAGCTCCTAAGATTCTTTCCTTCATCTTAACTTTGGATAACCTGATGACAATGTGCCTAGGCGAGGATCTTCTTGCAATGAATTTCCCAGGTGTTATTTTTGCTTCTTATATTTGGATATCTAGGTCTCTCACAAGGTCAGGGAAGTTTTCCTCGATTATTCCCCCAAATATATTTTCCAGACTTTTAGAATTTTCTTCTTCCACAGGTACACTGATTATTCTTAGATTTGGTCATTCAACATAATCCCAGACTCCTTGGTGGCTTTATTCATGTTTTCTTACTCTTTTTACTTTGTCTTTGTTGGATTGGGTTAATTTGAAGACCTGTCTTCAAGCTCTGAATTTCTTTCTTCTACTTGTTCAGTTCTATTGCTGTGATTTTACAGAGCATTTCACATTTCTAAAAGTGTGTCCAAAGTTTCCTGAATATTTTATTGCTTTTTCTTTAAGCTATCTATTTCCATGAATATTTCCCCCTTCACTTCTTGTACCAGCTTTTAGATTTCCTTGCATTGGGCTTTGCCCTTCTCTGGTCCCTCCCTGATTAGCTTAATAATTAACCTCCTGAATTCTTTTTCAGGCAAATCAGGATTTCTTCTTGGTTTGGATCCATTGATGGTGAACTAGTGTGATTTTTTTGAAGGTGTTGAAGAGCCTTGGTTTGTCATATTATCAGGGTTGGTTTTCTGGTTCTTTCTCATTTGAGTAGGTAGGCTCTGTCAGAGGGAAGGTCTAGGGCTGAAGGCTGTTGCGGGAAGGTCTAGGGCTGAAGGCTGTTGTTCAGATTCTTTGTCCCACAAGGTGTTTCCCTTGATGTAGTACTCGCTCCCCCTTTCTCTTATAGATGTGGCTTCCTGTGAGCCAAACTGCAGTGACTGTTCTCTCTCTTCTGGGTCTAGCCACCAATAGAGGCTACCCAGCTCTGGGCTGGTACTGGGGGTTGTCTGCACAGAGTCCTGTGATACTAACCATCTATGGGTCTCTCAGCAGTGGATATCAGCACCTGTTCTGGTGGAGGCGGCAGAGGGTCTAAAGGACTCTGTGAGGGTCCTTAGCTTTGGTGGTTTAATGCTCTATTTTTGTGTTGGTTGGCCTCCTGCTGGGAGGTGAGCTTTCCAGAAAGCATTAGCTGCAGTAATGTAGAGAGGGACAAAGCATGGGTGGGGCCTTAGAGCTCCCCAAGATTACATGCCCTTTGTCTTCCATTACTAGGGTGTGTAGGGAAGGATCATCAGGTGGGGGCAGGGCTAGGTGTGTCTGAGCTCAGACTCTCTTTGGGCGAGTCTTGCTGCAGCTGCTGTGGGGGATGGGGGTGAGATTCCCAGGTCACTGGAACTGTGTCCCTAGGAGGATTATGACTGCCTTTGCTGAGTCATGCAGGTTGCCAGGGAAGTTAGGGAAATACAGCAGTCACAGGCCTCACCCAGCTCCCACACAAACCAAAGGACCAGTCTTACTCCCAACCATGCCCTCCCCAACAGCCCTGGGTCTGTTTCCAGGTGGAGTTTGAGACAGGCTTGAGAACTTGCCCGAGGCTATTTGCCTCCCAGAGTATTTGGGGTGTCCCCTGGGTCCTGCAGAAGCAACCCGCTTCCTTCAGAGGGACTGTGGGTCCTCTCAGAATTGCTGGTTTGTTCTTGTAGTTGATCTGGAAGCTCCACAGCCTGCAGGACCCGCCAGTGCAACCAACAGCAACAACCATCTTAATTTCTGTGCAAATATCTCAGCCTCCTTTTAATGCTCTTTTGGAAAACAGACACATTTGTGAATCTGCTGAAGGATGTGGACCTTGTCCTAGAAAACCCACACACTTTAACATGCAACTTTGGGGCACTCATACATCTAATAGAATCCATAAATAAAACCTCTTCAGAGGTCCATAGACCTAAAGTTTCCTTCTTGATCTCTGGTCTAGAAGGAAAAAAAAATAGTTGACATTTACTGAGTATCTATTACATGCCAGGCACTATTCCAGGTGTTAAATAGACTTTTCTCAATTAATCATGACAACCCCATGGAGTAGGTACAACTGTTCTGTATTTTACTGACAAGAAAACAGTAGCAGAGAATGTCACTCTCTCCAGGTCAAACAGCTAGTAAAGCCAGGGAACCTCTCCTCTTAGCCACTAAGTTACAGCTGTGAAATCAAACACATGTAAGCAATTTTAAAAAATTGTAGGCCGGGCATGGTGGCTCATGCCTGTAATACCAGCACTTTGGGAGGCCAAGGTGGATGGATCACAGGGTCAGGAAATCAAGACTATCCTGGAGTGAAACTCCATCTTTACTAAAAATACAAAAAGAATTAACCAGGTGTGGTGGCATGCGCCTGTTGTCTCAGCTACTCGGGAGGTTGAGGCAGGAGAATCACTTGAACCCGGGAGGCAGAGGTTGCAGTGAGCCGAAATCATGCCACTGCACTCTAGCCTGGGTGACAGAGCGAGACTCCATCTCAAAAAAAAATAAGACCAGGTGCGGTGGCTCAAACCTGGAATCCCAGCACTTTGGGAGGCCAAGATGGATGGATCACCTGAGGTCAGGATTTCAAGGCCAGCCTGACCAACATGGAGAAACCCCATCTCTACTAAAAATACAAAAAATTAGCCAGGTGTGCTAGTGGGTGTCTGTAATCCCAGCTACTTGGGAGGCTGAGGCAGGAGAATCACTTGAAACTGGGAAGCGGAGGTTGTGGTAAGATGAGATCGTGCCATTGTACTCTAGTCTGGTCAACAAGAGCAAAACCCCATCTCAAAAAAAATAGTATATGGTTACACACACCATAATCATAGCATCTTTCTTTTGGGGTGGGGGAGCATGTGGATACTTAGCCAAGTATCTCCCTGCCTACCAGTGCCACATCATCTCTGTTTACTCAGATCTCTCCAGAGAGATGATGTGGCTAAGTATCTCAGGCCCACTACTAATATTCATGGCACAACACAAAACAAAAGCCAGTCAGCCCCACCACGTGGCTTCCCAAGAATAGGGAACGTTGATTGTCACTTGGGCCAGTTTGTGTCCCCTGCCCACAGACTGCATTCCCTGCATTCCTGACTCCTGACTTGGAAAAACCTGGAGAGTGGGAAGGGAACGGTCTATTCACAGGTCACAAACCGATGGCCCACTGGGCTTAATATTAATATGTCTGAATATGTCTTTTTTTTTCTTTTTTGGAGAGGCTGGAGTGCAGTGGTATGATCTCTGTTCACTGCAGCCTCTGCCTCCCCAGTTCAAGCGATTCACATGCCTCAGCCTCCCAAGTAGCTAGGATTACAGGCCTGTGCCACCACACTTGTCTAAGTTTTGTATTTTTAGTAAAGACGGGGTTTCACCATGTTGTGATTTCCATTCCATTAGAGCTATGCTTTTTGCATGCTAACCAACCCAGCAGTAGGTCACTAGCAGAAAGATTCAGACACCAGAGATGAAGAAACATCGGGCAGTCAATGACAGTACACAGGACGTACCTCATACATAGAGCACATTCAAGGTCAGATGCGTCGAAGGATGCAAGTGGTAAACTGAGAGCAGGTGTGGCCTCCTGATCAGTGGGAGGATCTGTGAGTTAGAAAGCAAGAAGTCAGCGCTGGAGCTACCCTGGTTTCCTCGATATTACTTCTGAGGCAAAAGAATCCAATGCGTTTTTCAGTTTGCCACTCTCACCACCTCTCAGAAAGCTGATTTACTGGACACCTGAGCCATTAAGAATGGGATACTCTGAAGCAGGCTCTCGGAGGTTTCCAGCAGCCCCCCACAGAAAGAGAAATGCACATCAAGAAATGCCCAGGAGCCCTGGGGACTTCATTCAAATGCATCAGGCACCTCTCTCAACAGCAGAACCTACTGCAACTCAATGGACTGAGCCAGGCCTTCAAAGCTAAACCTGAATCTTGGCACTGCCAACCTCTCTTGGTAAGATAGCAAGCCACAGCTGGTGCTTTTCACATGCCTACCTACGGGAACACAGCTGGGAATGAGCAGGATGAGGCCTGACCTCACTTCCCTCATCCTGCATTTCTAGAATGGGGATGGGGATAGTGAGAGGTTGACCTAGAAGGAAGTGGCATCCTCATGGGTATGGAATGTCAAGAAACAGTTGATACTGTGCTTGAGCTGATGCCTTGGCTTTCCATCATATTAATAATTAGTATTGAACACTTATAGTGTGCTAGGCACTGTGCATGATCTCACAGAAGCCTCATAGCAATCTCTGAGGTCACACAGCTAGTAAATGCCACAGCAGGGCCACACACCCAGAGCCTAAGGAGCCCCAGGACAGAGGTAAGCAACTTGTACATAACGGTGAGCCCAGGTATCTCCTCCCAGCTGCCCTCTCCCTGTGTAGAGCCAGTACCTTGCTTGAAGCCTTTATTAGACATCCCTGTGTCATGTTGGGCATCAAGTTGGTAGTATTTCCTTTTCTTTCCCTGGCATTTTCCAGTCGTGCTGGAAGCAGCTTCTGGAGAGGCAGCATCCTGCTTCCCCTCCTTTGCTTCTTGGTCTTTCATGGGGTGCTGCTGACCATCCCCCTTCACCTTAGCTGGGTTCCTCTGACTGCTGCCATCTCCCCTGGCTGCTGCTTCCTCCTGACTAGAACAGTGTGGGAGCTCCAGATTGTCCTGAATGATGAAAGGGCCAAATATCAGAATCTTCTTAGGACCAATACTGTCCTCTGATATTGCTACCCAGAGGGACAAAGGGAAATTATAGAGTCCTGATCCCCACCCTTGATTGCATAGTGGACACAGAGCTCAACTGAGGGGCCGTCATAAGGCATTGTTTCCCACTTCTTGTCCACACAGCAATCTGCAACCAAGGCATGCTCAGCCTGGGTGGAGTTAGGGAATTTCCCTAGGCAAGGACCGGAAGGTATGTAGGAGGAGAGGCTCCTTAAATAGGTGCAAAAAGGGGAAATGCCAGGGATAGCGCCAGTTCCCCTTCCTATCACATCTTTCCCCGGTAACCACTTTAGCAAAACTAAGGCAGTGAGGCCAGATACTGTCACTCAATAATTCCTCTCGCCATTCACAGCCATCTGTGATTCCCAAACTCCAGCTCTAAATGGACTTTTGGTAGTAGGGCTTTGGCACAGGTCTGTTCATGGCCTGTCAAGTTACCTCATACTCCAGGGCTACATGTTACACTGGTCAAATGAACCAGGTACAAACTATTCCTTTTACTAGATTTGAGGTGACAGGCATTAAAAAAAAAGGCAAAATCACCTGGCAAAAAAAATCAATATCTCTAGCCTTTTAATATTTTCCCAGGAAATGGATATTTGAAAATGGATTTAGAAATAAATGCAAATAACAATATGTTTATGCAAATTTACATGAAGAACCCCTCTCTAATCTAAACCCATAGTCCCCAGGTCAAAATATTCATCCTGTTGTTTCCCTCTAACCATACCAAAAAAAAATTGGTAGACAGGTAGAAAAGGGGAACTATATAGCTGGGAGAAAACAATGAGGTGAGGAGAAAAATAATGTGGGTGTTCTCTGTCTCTATCTTGGGGAGTTGGGGTTTTCTCCAGCACTGTAGCAATAATATAATGTTGACTTTCCATGAGCCCAAGGCATTGGCCACTCAGGAGTATACCGCTTTGCAAAGCAAAGTTTGGGTGGAAATCCAATCCTTGTTCCTCAGCTGGTTCACATTGGAAAGCCAAGGTTGGCATTTTTCTTCTTGTCAGATGGAGCTGCAATGAGAAGTCACTCCAGCATTTGAGTTCAGTATTAGCATTCTCAGTCAGGTAACAGTGATCTTAATTATTGAAATCACTGGGGGTTCTCTGATTTCAGGAGATCCTGTAAGTTCTGCCTTTTTTTAAAGAAAAGTTGGACCCACCTGCATTTTAGTTCTTATGAGAGCTCAGGGCTTATACACAGGAGAACATCGAGCATGAATGGAGGGAAAACTGCCCCCTTAAAGGTGCCCAGACATTCAGTGCTAAACTCTGCCTTGGAGTCTGGGCTTCTGATCCTCAACTTCTGCCCACTTAACCTCTGCTGAGACAGCCAGGGCCTGGGGCCCACATCTCTGTGTTCTGTTTCCTGGTTTTCAAAGAAAGGCACCAATATCTGTCTTCCTTCCATGTCCTTCAACTCCACATTCTTTCCCCACATCTCTTTCCTCTTCTCTGTTACAAATAGGTATTGGAAGCTTACTTATGTATAAGGTATAGTGCAGGAATACAAAATTACATCCATTTGGGGATCAGAGTTGTCTTTGCACAGGATCTGTGCTGGCACTCAAAGGCTAGCAGCTTGAACAAACAAAAAGCTCTAGAGGAGGAATTATCAGGTCCTCTTCCCAGACTCCGCCCGGAAGCCCATACACCCACCCAAATTGTATGGCCCAGGGGCAGTAAGCCAATTCCTTTCTAGTTTTGTCAAATCTCTCTCTTGGATGGATCTAACCAAGAACTGAAAATATATATCTATATCTACATCTATAGCACTTTGGAAGGCCAAGTTGGGAGTATCACCTGAGGCCAGGAGTTCGAGACCAGCCTAGGCAAAAACGGTGAAACTCCATCTCTTCCAAAGAAAAAAAAAAAAACTTAGCCAGGCATGGTGGTACATGCTTGTAGTCCCAGCTACTCAGGAGGTTGATGAGGGAGGATCTCTTGAGGCCAGGAGTCTGAGGCAGTAAGCCATGATCACATCACTGAACTCCAGCCTGGGTGACAAAACAAGAACCTGATTCAAATTTTTTTTCAATGTAATGAATAACTCTGAGACCATGCCTGAAATTCACGGTTGTATCTTTAGGAGGTTCTTTGCAAAAACAAAACCACTAGTGACTCCGTTTCTTCTTTCTCAGCTACCAAAATAGGAGAGGGAGGGCTCACTCCCCACGTTCGCCCCCATAAAAAGCCAAATGAAGTGTCATGAGCGAGCTGGGTGAGTTGAATTTTACCTGTAACAACCTTGGCAGATTATGGCTGGTAACTTCAGTAGTCATTGACTCTACATCTTCCTTTAATCTAGGGTGAGGTGCCAACAGCTTCAGGATATTGGGAGAATGTTCCTGAGAGTCCCCCGGGACAGTTGGTGAAAAGAAACTAAGGAGAAGCTGGTACATAAAACAGAAGACTTCACTACTTAAGTTTCTACAGATGCCCAGGTGAAGGGGCGAGGGGCAGTGGGGGCAGCTTGCAGGGCAGAACTCTAGGGAAGAAGCCTTTGACCAGTGTCCCCAACACACCACACCGGGGCAGAGGTCCTCGCTTCAGTGGGTATCAGAATTAAGTGGGGAACTTATGAAAAATCTAGGTCTCTATTTTCTACTCTCGTCTCTCCCAGGTCTGAAGTGTGGCCCAGGAATCTGGATGTTGAGAAGGCACTACAGATGCCTCTGTTGCCTAGCCAACGTTAAGAGCCACCACGCTGGTGCTAACACTTCACAGAAATGTCTGCAGTGGGATTAAAAAACCCATCTAAGAGGAAAGAGACAGAGAGGTGAAGTCAGGAGAGAAACCTCAGTTGGGGAACTTGAAGTTTATAACGCCTCAGTAGGTGGAAGTCTACAGATGTCTTCTAGGATCGTCACTGTTTCTTTTCTCCACTACCCATTTTGCTTTCTCGTCTCCCCACCATCACCCCTGGATCTTTAATCCCTTCAGAGCTGGGAACCTGAGCAGTTATTTGTTAGGAAAAACAGAACTCCGGCTTCTTCCCTCTTCTCCCAACATCACCTACCCTATTCTGGCCTTTGCTTCCAAGAGGATGTTAGGTTAAGTTCAAGTACTAGGAGCAAGGAGGTTCCTGTCTCTTGCTGGTTTCCCTTGTAATTGGATAAGCTGGGAAATTAGACACTCATTCTAATGTAGCTTACACCATTCACTGTCCACATTCCTGTCCCAAGTTTCCCCTGTACCAGCAAGGATTATGTGTTTGTGTGTGTATGTGTGCGTTTCCATGTACTGAAACATGTAACACAAGGAGAGCACGTTACTTTGCATCCAAAAACCTGTTCCAGTGCTTACCACCCATCAGCTCCTGCGTGCTCCCGTCTCGTGTTGAAGATACACAGTCAAGGTATTAATTGATCAATGAAATTTGACAGAATCCCAAACTCCAGTTTGATTTATTCTCTGGCCCAGCAGTCTCTTCATGATATTCCTTCAGATGCCAGCACTCACCATGAAGCCAAACCCTGCTCAGCCTTCAAAGCTCAGCTCACATGCTACCTTCCCTCACTACTCCAGTCCTGTCCTATGCAGTAGAGAGTGTACCATAATACAGCATCTTGAACAACAACAGAGGCACCACGTTATGTTATCCTAGAAAGGTGTCACAGATGTAAGCCTTTCTCTCCTGCCAGATGGCCAGCTTCTAGAGGGCACATAACAGATACCCAATAAATACTCATCACACCGGATGGAATTGAAGTAAGACACTTATCCACCCCAGGGCCCAGGGAGAGGCCTAGCATTCAGGCCCAAAGTCCTCAGACTGATGCCTGTGTTTCCTTTCAGCTCTGAGAAACACCGTTTCCAGTTATAGGTGGCAAAGGAGTGAGATGGGAAGGTACTCACAGCACCCAGGGCCATAAATGTCAGCTTTCAGAGCTCCCTCCTCCACAGGAGCCAAGGTTGGCCCTCAGAAGCCCTAACGAGTGACCCAACAGGACCAAACCAGTTCTGAGGAGGCGGTATCCCTGGAATTCTCCCAAAAAAAGCATAATGCTCTTCAATGGCAGCCACAGAGCATCACAAGGTGCCAGGATGAAAGGGCAGAGAGTGGTGGGAAGGAAAAAAAGTCCAAGGGAGAAATCCAAAGAAACAAAGCAGAAATAACAGCAGCAGTTCCCTTCTTCATTTTACTACTTAAGATCTCTCTCCAGGCCTTCTCAATGGCATTGGAAAACAAAAGCTGGGGTCAACTCTCAGTGAGAATGATCATTCCACATGAATGAAAGTCAATTCCACTTCAGCCTCAGTCTTAGAAAGACCCAAATAGGTCAAGGAGGACGAAAAAGAATCTGAGGTAAAAAGAAACACAGGCCTGTGAGTTTGAAGACAGCTTATTAATGCCAACTGAACCTGCACCATCTCTGTCAAATCTTTAGCCCTGAAACTGGAATGCTTTAGTAAAAAAACACATCGGAGGACTCTCAATGTTCTTAATCACTGTCATGGACTCATCACACTCAGTGGAAATTTGCCTCTAAATTCTCACGCTCACTTCACAACTCTGTAACGCTCATCACGGGCATATGCTTGCTTGCGTCATCTGGCATTTATGTTAACAAATGCAAGATTGTAAGTTCCTTGAAGGCTAAGACTGTGCCTTATGCCTCTTTGGGTCTCCAGAGCTTTACAAAATGCCTTGCCTCAAGCCATTAGGCAGCTGTGGAAATGACAACAGTTTGTCTATAAAAGTGGACTGGAGAGACAGGTCAGCCCAACTGATGTTACTAAGAACATCTCAGGCCAACTGAGAAATGAACAAACAGGAGTCAAGAAACCATTCCTCCTTGGGTGTGAGACTTGCCTCTGCTGGCCTTTGCACACTGTCCCCAAATTCAAGTCTCTTCTAATTGCCTTTGTTCATCCCGGAACTGGAAAGTTCCACTGCTACCAGTGAGTGCTGAAGCTGTGGCCATATATTCATGGGAAGCAGGATGGCGGAGCAGCTAACAGACCAGGCTTTGGAAACAGATAGACTTGGGTTCGAATACTTTCCCACCAATCACCAGATGCATGACCTTGGGAAAGTCAGCAAGACCTAGCTTCATCTGTCTCATGTGTAACCTGAGGATGAATCACCATACCTAGCCTCAAAGGAGTGTAGTGGGGTTTAAATTACATACTCCACATAAAGTGCCTAGCACAGTGTCTGGTGCAGAGGAAATGCTCAACAAATGTTAGCTATTATTATTGTTATCATTTCTTACACTACGGACTACATTTAAAATTTGGAGAAGGGTCCATAGCTTCGAGCATACTCCTCTCAAGTACACCTTGTCCACATACTCAAACCAATTCAAAGCAACTTCCCAGGAAGGAAATCCTCTGTGAGAGAAAGAAAATCCAGAGCCAGTTCCTTTAGTTCACCAATTTTGCTAACTGTTCCTTTCTAGAGCCTTCAGAAACCAGTCATGTCTCTTGCTCACTTTCTTCATCCACTGCTCTGCCACACCACACTGGGACAGAAACCGTGGGGCTCAGTGGAATAGGGGGTGGAGCACAAGGAGAGCAGAGACAACCACCAACAGTGAGAATCCAACTTCCAGGCCGATTAGCCAGGTACCAGGAGAGTCAATTGTAAAACAATAAACAACAAAGTCCATGAATTGAAGATGCCTGAGCCCTCACTCATGCTCTCAGTGTTTCGTGCCATTTTTCTTTTATAACTACCACCTTCTCCTGGGACCCAAGAGTTGGAATGACTGGAGTATATTGTAACAATCTCTGACTAGCATTTGTGAGGCAGTGTGTTTTATTTCTAGCAAAGGAGCTGAAGGTTGGAGTTCTGTGTATGGTGATAGGGGAGGTGGAGACGACCAGCATCCCTTCCCAGGGGCTGGCTGTCCTGTGTGGCTGCTGAAAACTGTGATTCAGCCAAAGAAAAGTTATGTAATGGCAGGCAGCCCCACACCCTGGATCTCTCATCAACAGCCAGAATGTCCTCAGTGAACCTCAATCCCCATGTTAATGTACTTGATTTTGGTTTTTCTCCCACTGACAATCCAGACCCTGAGTCAAGCAAGAACATTCCTCACGGGCTTCAACAAAAATGTAGCAACTGCCCAATCTGATCATACACAGCAGAAGGATGGTGTTTCTGGGCAATCAGTTAGCACTCCCGTCTCCCTTTTGTCCCCTTAGCCCAGGAAACCACCCACTCAGGACTCCAAATGCCAGGGAGACAAGCACATTCACTCCCCTTCCTAGAGAAGACAGAGAGGTGAGGGTCCATTAGGAAGCTGGACCTGATGTCATTTCAACTCACTCTTTGGGCTTCAGATCTTGCTCTCTTGTTGTTTCCATCAAGGGATACACAGTAGAGAAACTCCCTTAGTGCCTCCTCCACCTTGCCTAGGGTGGCTAAGGCTTGGGCTTTTCTGAAATGTGCCTGGAAGGAAACATTAGCATTCAATCCCATTTTATGCAGCCTATTAACACTACTACTATAACAATAAATAACCCAGAGCACTCACTGTTGTGTGAAACATCTTAAAAGGACTCTCTTGGCCAGCAAGGTGGCTCACAGCTGTAATCCCAGCACTTTGGGAGGCCGAGGGGGCCGAACAAGGTTAAGAGTTCAAGACCAGCCTGGCCAACATGGCAAAACCCCATCTCTACTAAGAATAGAAAAATTAGCCAGATGTGGTGGCAGGCACCTATAATCTCAGCTACTCAGGATGCTGAGGCAGGAGAATCACTTGAACCTGGGAGGAGAAAGTTGCAGTGAGCCGAGATTATGCCATTGCTCTCCAGCCTGGGCAACAAGAGCAAGACTCCATCTCAAAAAAAAAAAAGACTCTCTTATCTACAGCCCTAAAATGCGTGCAACTGTTCTAATGCCATTTTAAAGAAGATAAAACAGAAACCCAAAAAAGTTAACTTGCCCAATGTAATACAGCTGGTAAATGGTGGGATCAGGGTTTGAACCTGGGACTGACACCAAAGCCCATATTCTTAACCACTGTGCCATGCTACCTTGTCTCTGCCCCACCATTGTATGGAGTGATGATCAAATGTAGCAAGAACCCCCATTTTACCACATGCTAACCAGCTTTCAGGGCCTACCCAGTTATGCCTTCCTTTGAACTAGTCTGTCAAGCAGAGAATTAGTCCTCAGTAGTGGCTTGAATGAGCACCTAAACTAACTGATCAATTTTCAGAAGAGTCCCAGGAAAAGGGTTCTGACTTCTTCAAGACCTTAAAGGTAACTAGTGGCAAAAGCTGGAACTAAAACTGCAATCTCAGGACTCCCAGAATGTTCTTCTCCACGAAGCAGTCTGCCCTTCAGAGGGCTAACCAGGGGACTGAGCATATACTTTCTCTCCTAGGTGCTTGGTTCACTTCTGCTCCTTCACCACATATTTTAAAAAGTATAAAGTCGTTTATAGCTCCAAGACCAACTGCTCTGGAAGAGATACTCTAGGGAAAGCAGAGGAACACCCTGGGGAAGAAGGAAGAAGAAAAAGAGTCGGGGGGAGAGGGCTGCCCTCCGTGTGTGTCTTGAGACAGGTGGACACTAGCAACTTGGCTTGAAGAGCATTTCACTTGAGTCATCTAGGATGTCCCTCCATTCAGTGGCCTGCTCCTTTGCCTCCTCCATGAGCAACACTAAGTCTAACTTAGTGAATGAAGTGATTGATCCAGGTTGTGGCTGCTGGATACTTCCCTGCCTCGCTTTCTAACATGCCTCTCTGCAGGCCCCAGCTATGGCCTGCTGCAGAGGCTGACCTGAAGCTGCCTTCTTGAACAGTGGCCCCTGCTCCAATGATGACCTCTCTGCACTCCCCAAGCTCCTTCTGAAGTCTTGTCTTGGTGGATACATGGATGCTGATGGCTTCCTTTGTTGCCTCTCCCTTTGGTGTTTACCAAAGACCTTCCTGGAAAGGCTTGCATGACATCATAGGATAACTAGAGGGGAGAAGTGTTGGGAGACTGGAAAGGCCTCTGTGATCCCACTAATCATATCAAGTAGCAACCCATATACTCTCTTTTTTTTTTTTTTTTGAGACAGAGTCTTGCTCTGTCACCCAGGCTGGAGTGCAGTGGCAAATCTCAACTCACTAAAACCTCCGCCTCCTGAGTTCAAGCGATTCTCGTGCCTCAGCCTCCTGAGTAGCTGGGATTACAGGTATGTGTCACCATGCTGGGCTAATTTTTGTATTTTTAGTAGAGACAGGGTTTCACCATGTTGGCCAGGCTGGTCTGAAACTCCTCACCTCAAGTTGTCTACCTGCCTTAGCCTCCCAAAGTGCTGAGATTACAGGCATAAGCCACTACGCCCAGCCAACCCATGTTTTCTACCTGCTCAGGGAAACCAGCTCACAACACTGAGAGCTGCATCACCTGCAGGATGTATACTCTGAATGGATGGCTGGAATGGAGAATAGGGCTGCCAGATAAATCCCTATACTTTGGGCATTTTACACAGAAATGTTGGAAAATATGCAAATCAGGGCTGGAGGTAGTTTTGAATTATATGTATCAGTTCCAGTCTCTTATCTTAACCCTCAAGACAATAAATTATCTCATCATTGCCCCCACCTCTCAGTTCATCACTATAGGGAAATGAAGCTCCTACTTAATACTTTCATCAACTCTTCCTTCACTGGGGAGGTCACTTTTCCCATTTCATCCAAAATGCTTCACTGTTTCTCAGCTATGCTTTTTATCACACTATCAAGGTCCTTAGCCCTAGGATCTAGGCTTAGGGTGGAGGGGGACAGAGTTGCAAGTCCTCTTACTCCTAGGCAGCTCCCTGACTTGCACTACTGGGAGCGCAAAAGTGCCCCTACTGTAGCTTCTTTGGGTTAAGACACTGGTGATTTATATTAAATGCTAACTGTGTTCGTTGGGAAAAAAGCATACTAATCCATCATCACTCAGGAAAACCTTCCTGGAAAAAAAGAGCATACAAATCATCATCACTCATGAAAACCTTCTCAGGAAAGAACATACAAGATTCACCTGACATTCATGGCAGAGTACACAGGTCCATATGCTGTATCTGAAGTTTCCAGATCCAAAAATGTTCTGATAATCCATTATTTTCATAAGCTTGACATCAAAATTGATTAGATGGCAAAACCTGACCTAAACTGACATGAAGCGTTTTAAAATATTTGTCCCACAGAGTGTGAATTTTCATAGAATCTGCTGGAGAGATAGTGTTTGACTACAGGAAGCTGCCTGGAGCTCACCGAGACCTAATATATTGTCCTTGCAAAATCTAAAACATTCTGGATTCTGAACATTTCTGGTCTTATAGTATTCAGATGAGGGGTTATGGACTTGAACTTGGATAAAATGGATTTCTGAGGAAGGCATCCTTGGGTTGTGTAAAGACAGCACTACACCCAGCAAGCTTTATAGCTTGCAGAATGTCCTCTTGGCCACGTTCACATTTGACTCTCACTGCATCCTTGTGAGGCAAGCAGGGTAGATACCAACAGCTTCATTTTGCAAACAAGGATACTTGGGGTTCCGAGAGTGAAGCCACCTCCCCATGGCTTGCAAGTAGTAGAGCAAATCTAATCTTCAAAACAAAGTACTGACATGTGGCTGAGGGCCAGTCCTGAAGCCAGGCAAAGATACAGAAAGTGACACTTTGCATCCTGGCATCCTGAGAGGTGTCCAGGCTGTCTTTCTTCTCACCTCCCCATGTGACCTAAATCCTTGGGGATACTGGCAGGCTGACTGACTATATTAAGGACTCGAAATGGCATAATCATTGTGTGAGTGTGAGGATCCCTTCAAAGAAAACTGGCTAAGCTGCCAAGGAGACTGGCTATCAGCAGAGGTTTAGGAGGGCCAGGCCAGCCATGCGACTCTCACCTCCTCTTTCTAATGTCCCTAGAAAAGAATGATAATGATGACGATAGAAAACATTTATATAGAATAGACCAGACACAGTGGCTCACGCCTGCAATCCTAGCACTTTGGGAGACTGAGGCGGGTGGATTGCCTGAGTCCAGGAGTCTGACACCAGCCAACACGGCAAAACCCCATCTCCACTAAAAATACAAAAATTACCCAGGCATGGTGGCACATGCCTATTGTGATCCCTGCTACTTGTTATGTGAGGTCAGAGGATCGCTTGAACCTGGGAGACGGAGGTTGCAGTGAGCCAAGATCATGCCACTGTACTCCAGCCTGGGTGGCAGAGTGAGACTTCATTTCAAAAAAAAAAAAAACAGGAAGGAAGTAGGAAGGGAAGGAAGGGAGGGAAGGGGGGAGGGAAGGAGGAAGGCAAGCAGGCAGGAAGGCAGGTAGGCAGGCAGGTGTTTATATAGTGATATGTGCCAGACACTGTTCTAAGCACCTTACGTTATTAGCTTATGTAATCCTCGCAACAACCCCATTTAGTAGCTGCTTTGAATATTCCCCATTTTACAGAGGAGGAGATGAAGTATTGGGAAGTCAAGTCATTTGCCCAAGACCACAAAGGTCATAAAAGCAGCAGAGCTGGGACACAAATCCAGGCAGTTTGGCTTCCAAGGGCATATTCTAGAGAGTCACTATGCCTAGGCTGCTCTGAAGGTCATCAGCTGAAGACCGAATTGAGGAAGAATCCAGTTCCCTTGCAGACCTGAGTCTCCCTTTGCCCAGGGATCTTTACCCTGGCTCCTTTGCAAGGCCTTCTTCCTGCTCTGCTTGAGGTCTAGTGCCCCTACGTTCCAGGGAGGCAGCCCTTCCTGCCAATTCCCATCTACAGTACAACCCCTTCCCACCTCTCCCCATCCCACACTCACCTTAAAACCCATCGGGCGGAGCTTACATGCTATTTCTGCATCATGCAGCGCATTCTCATGAGACTCCAAGGTGAAATAAATCTGAGACCGATTGCTATAAAGCAAGTGGTCATTTGGAGCTGCCAAAATGAGAAAGAAAAACCCTTATTAATGGCCCCCAGCCAGCACAAGCAGGTGGTAAGTCCTGTATGAGCATGGATCTTGAGCAAATGATAAGTTTTCTAGGACTTTTTTACTGGCGATCAAAAGGATTGGGTTCTATTTCTAGTTCTAATATTGTCCTGCCTTCTACACTCCCAGACACTCTTGGTTCCCCAACTGCAAAGTCATTTTTGACCCTGGCTCACAAGTTCATTACAGGCCCTGTAGTGTCAGTGATGCATTAGACACTTTGACATAGACAAGATGTGGCTACACACAGCTAGTGCCTGGCAGCCAGGTGTGAGGGCATTATCACCAAGAAGAAAACAGGCCAGGTAGGAAGGGGAGAAAAGTGGGCAGATGTGACCCCTATCTGAACTACCAAGAAGACAAATCCAAGTTCGTCTTCCAGGAGGGAATCACTGATGACATTAGCAACATCTTTGTCTACAAAGCTCAGCACATATGAAGATTCCCTAAATGGAATGGGAAAATATATTTATATGGTCCCGTTCTCTCATTTCAGATGACCAAATGTAAATGAACTTGGAAAGGGTTACTGGGAATAAGGTGAGGCTGGCTCTCACCAAAAACTCCGAATTACTAGATGTCAGAGCCGGACAGGCGATTAGAGATTATCTGGCTCAATCAACCCATTCTTCAGATGGGGAAAATCAAGCCCAGAGAAAGGAAAGCATCTTCTCAAGGTCACACAGCTAGATGGACAGAGTCACTGATAACTGGTGAGACTTTGAAGCTTTTGAAGCTGGAATGCTGGGGAGCAGGCTCCTTTTTCTGAAGGTTGTGTACAGTACTTGGAATAATACGGACACACTGCCCATCTTCCAGAACAGAGTCTCCTTTCCTCTTAGAAGGGTAAAGCTGGCCTTGACATTTTCACCCTGAGTTCCCTGAGGGTATTAACAAAGATGCAAGGAAGAACCCCCAGGGGAAGATGGCAGCAACAGAGGAAGAGGGTGAGGTCAGGAAGGGGCTTTCCTGGCCCCTGGAGGATGGCTAAAAGGAATGCAACCTGCCTTGGAGATTTGGAGTTAAATGGTCTCCAGAGCTTCATTCATATTGTCCTGCTCTTCCCCAAGATGTGACTCCAGCTTCTTCTGTGGCAACAGGTTTTGATGTTTTTTCCCAGGGGTATGCTCAGGACTTGCTTGGGTGCCCATTACTTGCTCTTAAGACATTAGCAAATTGTTTACAGTCTTTTCTGTCTTTTGTCTTCTGCAGCACACTCCAGCCTGATGGCAGCTCACAGTGTGCCTTACTTGTGCACAGACAGGGGCTGGTGGGGTCCCCTTCTCTGGCTGCCAGTGTCTCCCTGTCAGTCCTTATTCCTCCTCTTCCTATTACCTGTTGCAAGCCTGAGTGGAGATTCAACACGTGGAGACTCCAGCCCACACCCTTTCTCCACTCCACAGAGTCAGGTCCAGAACACCCTGGGATGCCAGGGCCCTGCCTACCCATCCCTGCTGCCTCCTCCCGTCATGCTTCACCAGACAACCGCGCCCCACGGCCCAGCTTCTGGCAGCCTGCCGAGCTGGGCAACACTGACTGGCAGCTCAGCAGCCACTTCCTGGGTGCAGAGGTGGTGGGTCTCAGAGAGCGGCTCCCTGGGGAAATTCAGGTGCCCTAGTCCAACTGGAGATGTGGGACTGCCCATGTTGCCCTTTAAGCTGCAAAGCCCACCCAACCTTCCCAGGCGGCTCTGGAAAGCAGGACAGAGGCGTGACCCATTAGTTGCCAGCCCACGGTCCCTGTGGATCCCCAAGCAGTTGCCGGGCCCCGTCTCTCACCGGGCTGGCCGGGTTAAAGGGGTTCAAGGCCAGGGCACATGCTGCGGGTTGGCAGGGCGGGAGGAGGGGGGGGCATCTATTTCAGCAGAGGATCCTGTGATAGGAAGCAGTGACAATGAGTCACAGGGCAGCGGGGCGCAAGCGCTCCCCCTCCCCCCCGCAAACACTCGTGGGATGGTTTCCGAAGCGAGCGTGGCCCACTTCAGTTACCTCAGCGGTTACACAATCCCGCCCGCCCGCGCGGAGGAGGGGCCGCCCGACCCGGGCCGCTAGCGGCCCTTATGCAACCAGTGCTCTCCTGACCTAATTCCACGCCGGACCCACCCCACAGGGAGCTGCGGCCCCGGAAGGGGCAACACCCGGCGGCGCGAGCGGCACGCAGGCGCGGACCGGACATCTCCTGCTGGCGACAGCCTGGAGGACAGGGCGCCAGTGCGAGGAGCGCGCGAAGTTCCTTTCCTCACTGGGAAGGTGTGAGCAGGTGTAAGAGGAGGCCAGGAGTGCAGCGGGAGGAGACTCAGAGGAACAGAGTGACACTGAGCAAGAAAGAAACTGTGACAAAGATGAGAAGAGATGGAGAAAAAGAACCAGAAACAAGGAGACACAGACAGGAACTGGGACTGACAGACAGGAACACAAAAACTAACAGAAGTCGGCAGAAAAAGACAAAAAGCAACCGATATCGGCACAAACACAGTGAAAGACAGCTAAAGCAGGGGAAACAGGACAAACTCAAGAGACCCAGCCCCAGAAACACCCCTCTCCCACCCCGGCCAGGGTCCATGGGTTCCCCCGCCCCCTCTTCTGCCCTGGTCCAAGTACCATCTCGCTGCAGGGTTTGTTCTCCCGCACCCTCGCGTCGCCAAAGGAGCACCAGCCCCAGCCCAGCAGCACACTGGACTCACCCAACTTAACTGCCTCGTTGTACTTGAGCAGCGCCGCCTCCACCTGGCGCTCGCGGTACAGCCGGTTGCCCTCGTGCCGGAGTTGCGACGCCCGCGCCGGGCCAGGGAACAACTTGCCGAGAAGGCCTCTGAGCACCACGTTGACTCGCAGCGGCGGCGGCGGCTGCTGCCCAGCCCGCCGGGCTCCACGCGCCCGCCCAGTAGCCACCATCAACGCGGAGAGTTTGACCCCGCACAGCGCACAGCGCCGGTCGGCGGCCCGCCCACGTTCCAGACACAGTTTACAAAAGGTGTGGCCACACGACAAGGACACGGGGTCTGACAGAAACCCATGACATTTCCGGCACTTAAAGCCGTCCCACACCTCGGTGGCCGCCGCGGCTCCTGTCTCTTCCGCCGCCACGGCGCCGCTTGTAGCGCTACCCTCATCCGGGGGCGCCGGCGTGAGCGCCTCGCCTTGTGGGACTTTCTCCGCCAGGCAGCGCACAAGCTGCTCCAGCTGCTCAGCCACCAGCTGCTGTCGCTCGGAGAGCTGTCTATACACCTCGAGGGCTTCCCGGAGGCGCCCCCGGGACGCCAAGGCATCTGCCTGCGTGAGCAGGACTTTGCTCTCCGGCGTTGAGGTCCCCGGAGACTGCTCTTGCTCTCGCTCCCGCGTCGGTAGAGGTACGGGACCCTCTACAGCCGCCTCTGGGTGGGGACCCGTGTCTACCTGGGCCGCTGATGCCCCTCGCTCCGCCGGCTCCACTGGATCTAAGTTGTTGCTGCTGACCTCGGCGGGCAAGCTCAGCATCTGTTCAGTCCGTACTGACTCCATAGGGAGAGGGACACGGTTGTGGGGGGGAAGGCGTCTAGGGACCGGGAACACGAAGCAAGAAGTGGCGGCTGGAGGAAATCAGGGCGGCCACCGCCGCCGTGCTACCGAACTCTGGGCCCTGCCGCGCCTCCGGGAGCTCCATGCCGGCCGCCCCGCGCCGCCTAATAACTGTCTTGTCTCAGCAAAGTGTTATATAAAACGGTACCACGTGACGTGCCGCCACGCTGCTCATTGGCCGGCAGCGGGGAAATTGTTACAAAACCAGACAGTTTTGTAACAGTCTTGCTCATGCTTCTTTGGGCTTCGCTTTTCTTGGCTTCTTTATGAGGTTGTTTGTATTTACACTTCGCCTTATTCCTCGGGGCCACCTAGTTCTGTTTCGGAAGTGGGGTTGAGGGGTGAGGAGAAACTTCTCTTGTGCTTCTCAGTGTCCAAACCCCCACCCCATCTCACCTCCAAACGGGCCAGCAAACAGGTCCCCTCTGCCAACCGCTGCACAGTCCGCGAGGTCTTCTGGGACGCCTAAGGCTCTTCCTCTTGGGGGCGATGGCTGCTGTCAGGGAAAAGAAGCAGGTTGGGAGGGTTATCCGTGAAGCCCCCCCCCCACACACACACACACACAACCCAACCCCAGCCTGAGAGCTCTGGAAGCCCCGCCTGGACTCCTTGCCTTTTTCCAGAAGCCTCCCAAAGGTGGTGAATGTGAATTTCTGGGGGTGCTTGGTCTTCTGTACCAAGAGCGACTCAGAGCAGCGAGTCCCAAGGGCTCAGAAGTTGGGCAGTGCTCGCTGGGCAGTGAGGAACTCGCGGAGAAGATGCTCTTGCAGGCTCAGCGGCGAGAGGGAGGCTCCCCACCAACTCCCCTCCTTACCTTTCTCCCCCAACGCTGAAACTGGCGCTGGGGCTGGCGGCAGGTGCCCAGCTGGAGAGACACCAGGCCGGCCCCTGAGCTACTGGCCGGATGGGCGCGGCCAGGACTCCCCGGTCTACTGGGGTCGGTGAGTACTCTGGGGTCCCAAGAAAGCGGCAGGCGAAAGACGCGAGTTGAGAGCGCCACTCCGGAGAAAGTCCGCATGTCCTGCCACAGCCTAGTGGCCGACCGAGTAGCCTCCAGGTTTGTCGTTTCTAAGCGCTGAGTTCTGACAGTGACACGTCACAGTGGGGGGACTGCTGGGGAGGGGTACAACTGGGCCGGAGCCTCAGGGCCTGGTTTACAAAGGCTAGAGGGCCTCTACGGTGCCCCCACACACTTCCTGTATGCGAGAGTGGTGGCCGGCACACTCTTTGTCTCCCTCGAATCCCCACATTTAGGTCGGGAACCCAGTTCATAAATGAGCAGACAGAAAACGGCATAGTCGCACTGTTCCAAACAGAGAGGCAGGGTCTAGGCTTGCCGATAGCTCAATTGGCCTCCAGAGCCTCAGGGGCCTGAAGAGCTATTGTTGCTCCCTGCTCCAGCCACCTTTTAACTGGATGACCTTGGGCAAAAGTCACTTAAAGTCAGAATCCAACATTCTTGTTTAAGAACGAATGTCAGAGTTGATCTCACTTGGGATTAAGTCATGCTTCAGAGTTGGGTTGTGGCAGCCTCCCTTGGGGCTCTGCTTCTCTTTAGGTAGTTAAAGCAGCCTTAGATCAATACCAAGGTCCCAGAGAACAGGTACTATGCAGCCAGCTCTAGAACCTCTCTCTAATAAGACAGGACAGCGAGAGAGAGTCACAGGGCAGAATGGAAGCATCACATAGGGGGGAAAAAAAACACCAAAAAAAAAAAAAAATAGAGAAACTCCGGATGTAGTCAGGAAAGCACAAGGAACAAAAACTTGGCTTGAAGCCTTGGCTTTGTCATGTATTTGCTATGAAACCTTAGGTGGGTTCTCCAAACCTTAGTTTCTCTTCATCTCCAAGGTTCCCTCCAGCTCTAACCTTGAATGGCTTTGATCCTAAGACCAGATTTCATGATACTAACTCTGTTGCTTAAGTACAAATGACTAGTCCTAATGCTGTGGATGGTGGTTTGAATGGGAGTTGGGGGGATGGGAAGTAAACGGAAGGCTGTGCATTTAGTCGGGGTCAGGTCTGAGCTAGATCTTCTTTTTTTTTTTTTGAGAGGGAGTCTTGCCATTGCCAAGCTGGAGTGCAGTGGTGCTATCTTGGCTCACTGCAACCTCCACCTCCCAGGTTCAGGTGGTTCTCTTGCCTCAGCCTCTTGAGTAGCTGAGATTACAGGTGTGTACCACAATGCCTGGCTAATCTTTGTATTTTTAGTGGAGACGGAGTTTCACCATGTCGGTCAGTCTGGTCTCGAACTTCTGACCTCAGATGATGCACCCGCCTTGGCCTCCCAAATTGCTGGGATTACAGGCGTGAGCCACCAGACCCGTCCCTGAGCTAGATTTTTAAGTAGAGGTCAGAGGACTGGCCAAGAGGCTGTGGAGATGGCTATACCAAGCAGCAGGGGAGAAGCTGGGGTTCCTGGTGACTTGCTAACTGACTAAGTAGAGCTATTTTCACCTCTCAGTTTCCCCTACCATCAAATGAGATCCCCAGCACTATATCTGCCTGCCCCTTCAGACACCTGTGGGAAGGACAACCTATGGGGAAGGTAGAGATTCATGAGATGGATAATGATGAAAAATCTTAATTCAAGAGCTTTACCCCTTCAACATATCTTTTTTTAAAAAATAGATGTCTGTTACCCAAAATTGTTTCCTAGTTGCAAATCTGGGATGTACTTTTCTCCCTGGATGACCTTGACAAGGGAATACCCACCCCCTGGGTTGATTCCCCTCCCTTGCCCTGTTATGGTAGGGAGGCTAAGAGAAGGCCAGATCAGGTAGAGAGTCACAGTCCTGCAGGCATGGGGAAGAGAAACTCTCTCCAGGCAGGCCCGCTTGGCTGTCACTGCAGGAGGTTGACTTTGCACTTGGTCAGGACTGTTAATAGCTGTCCGGATGTTGGGAGGTACGCTGGTGTAAATGGCAGTACCACCTACTCACTGACCAGACTCCACAGGGAGTTTTACATTGTAATCAAGACTGCCCGTAGGATAACACCAAATGGGTTTCTATTGAATGCTGAAAAACATTATCACAGTGGCTTTCTTTACTTCTTTAAGTTAAACAAACATTACCATTACATTGATATACATTTGTGAACCAAGTCAGAAGTCTCCTACTCAGAACTTCCTTCCCTCTGCTCTTACTAACTGGAGCCCCCGGAAGGAGGGGAAGGGTGAGATTGACACCATCTTTTCAGTGCAAATATTCCCTTTGGAGTGCCAGGTTCTTCAAATCTCCATTTATTCTGCTAGGATCACCTTGTGGCTTAGGTTAACTAAGAAGAAGACAAGGATTGAGCTGCTCTTCATTTTCAACTGACTAGTAGTTTTCCAACTGGGCTCCGAAGAATCTCTCTTGGGCTCAGAGGAAACAAGCAGGCAGGCTTTGACCCTAGCTCCCTCAAGCAGGGCAGCACTGTATCCATCTGTTTCATATAAGTGAGCCTCCAGTTATGAATTCATTGAAGAAAAGCTGTCCCTTACAATATCAAGTTTGAAAACCATAGCAATTTTCACACATTTTCATATATTTGTTGGGCATCTAGATACTGGACTAGATACTGGTTCTAGTCCAAGGACTGTTCCAAGGACTGTTCTAGATACTGGAGACACATCAAAGCAGGGGCCAGGTGTGGTGGCTCATGCCTGTAATCCCAGCACGTTGGGAGGCGGAGGCAGGCAGATCACTTGAGGTCAAGAGTTCGAGACCAGCCTGGCCAAGAAGGCAAAATCCCGTCTCTAGTAAAAATACAATAAATAAACAAACAAACAAACAAATAAGTAAAATTAGCAGAGTGTCATGGGGTGCTCCTGTAATCCCAGCTACTTGGAAGGCTGAGGCATGAGAATCCCTTGAACCCAGGAAGCAGAGGTTTCAGTGAGCTGAGATCACACCATTGCACTCCAGCCTGGGTGACAGAGTGAGACTCTGCCTCAAAAAACAAAAAGCAGCACGTAACTCCCAGGCTCTCCCTCACATATGATGGTGTGTCTTTCCTCACACATACACATCCTTGTACTGGCTTCCCATATAGACTTGAAGCTCCAGAGGGCAAGGACTGGTGTCTTGTATCTCCTCCAGTGACATAAGCAGGACAGTGCTTGAACAGTTCTTACTGAACATGCCAGTGGACATTCTGGCCCTAGGAGTGTGCAGAGGGACAAGAGGGAAAAGTTGGAATGCCATACCTTTGCACTGGGTCATTCATAGAGCAGAGACTGGGCATACAAATAACAAATCGTTGACAGTCCTGTACTTGGAAAGGACTGCTGTGCAACTCTGGGAGGAAAGAGTCCATTCAAAGCCAGAGACCTGGGGTAAGGTGTATGCAACCCTGTGTGCACATACACATGCACACACTGTATGCCTGGAAGCTTGGCCAAAACACGCATTTGTTCTGTACTTGAGTTTCTTATTTTATAAACTGGGCTGACTTATAAATCTGCAGTCCTTAAAGGGGAGGAAAAAGAAAACATGGGGCCGGGCGCGGTGGCTCACGCCTATAATCCCAGCACTTTGGGAGGCCGAGGCAGGTGGATCACGAGGTCAAGAGATGGAGACCATCCTGGTCAACATGGGGAAACTCCGTCTCTACTAAAAATACAAAAAACTGGCTGGGCATGGTGTCGCGTGCCTGTAATCCCAGCTACTCAGGAGACTGAGGAGGGAGAATTGCCTGAACCCAGGAGGTGGAGGTTGTGGTGAGCCATTGCATTCCAGCCTGGGTCACAAGAGCGAAACTCCGTTTCAAAAAAAAAAAGGAAACATGGATATTAATGGTATTGGTATGGAAAGAAAGACTGCCCCTTGTTATACAGAGTAGCCAAAACCCCCAAATAAAAGAAAGTTTAACTGGGCACGGTGGCTCACACCTATAATCTCAGTACTTTGGGAGGCCGAGGTGGGCGGATCACTTGAGGCCAGGAGTTCAGGACCAGCCTAACCAACATGGCAAGACCCCATCTCTACTAAAAAAATTTTTTTGAAAATTAACTGGTCATGGTGGTGAGTGCCTGTAATCCCAGCTACTCAGGAGGCTGAGGCAGGAGAATCACTTGAAACCAGGAAGTGGAGGCTGCAGTGAGCCAAGATCATGCCATTGCACTCCAGCCTAGGCGACAGAGCAAGACACTGTCTCAAAAAAAATAAAGCAAGAAAAGAAGGAAGGAAGGAGGGAAAGAAGGAAGGAAGACGGGAAGGAAGGAAGGAGGGAGGGAGGGAAGGAAGGAAGGTTGGTTTACACGAAGGAAGGAAGGAAAGTTGGTTTACATGTCAGCTCTGGTTTCACAAATGAGGCAATTGAACACCAGAGAAGGCAAGTGACTTGCCGCAGGTCATAATGAATTTGATACAGCCAAAATTGGAAGGTAGGGCTCATGTCTCTTTGTTTATAGGATTTTTTCCATGTGATCAGAAAGCTAAAGGGCACAGAATATCTCTTTCTTCTTACTTATTGTAAGAAATTATTTCAGATTTCCCACCTACAATATTTTCATCAGTTCAACAAATATTTATCGAACATATACTACATGC